CCGTAAAAAAATTTTCAGACATATGTTTTAGCAAACGTCGTGGAGGCATTATAGCTATCAAATCAAGTGCCTGGGCGGCCTGATTACAGACTATGCCTAAGGAGAGTATGGAACTATGGGTTCACTCCATCAGTATTAAACTATCAGAGGGATTAGGACGTACTCGCTTTAGAAAAGTATACGCAAAGCATGATGTACGGTTTCAATATTTCAGATAATCCATAACTTATAAGCTCTTATGGAGATAAATGCGATGCATACCAAGAATTTAAAACTATTTTTAAGTCTGCATAATTAAATAGCCAAAAATTAAACCTTGAGACAAAAAAATAAACCAAAATTTAGTAAAATTGGAAAATGAAACGTCAACACTCTCTGGTGGATTCAGTTTGATCTAGGAAAATTTTTAGAAAGGTCTGAGAAATGTTTTCAACTTGTGTTCACCAGGTTTTAATGACAATCAAGGCACTGTTTTGTTTAACTGATATATTCCTGACACATTTCTGAAATAAATTTCCTTACCCTTATGCGTTTAAATTAATTTTATAAATGGTTATGACGTACGATCGCCGCGGATCAATTAAATGAGAGTGATACGAGTATTTCAACTGGAGAGCAATGAGGGAAATCCGTACACGAATCTGAGGGCGTTTTAAATACCATTCCGTCACGTTTCATACATAGAATCAACATATAGCTGTACCTTATCAAATTAAAAATTCGAAATATCTGCCAGTTGTTTCTGAAACATGTTTTTGAAGGATCTTGGAAACGTTGCTAAATTTTGTCAGAAATATGTCAGGTTTATTTCTCAGAAACTTCGAACTTCCAAGAATTTCTGCAGCAACGTTTTAAATATGTTTTAGAAATGTTTCCAAAATATTTAGTTGATCTCCTTTCCCAACATATCGTACACAAATCTAATATGAATCTGTGCCTGGGGTCGTTAAAAAAGAAATTGACACAATTACAAATTTTTTCCGATAGATGTCAATAAAGGTTCATTGATTTTCAAATAAATTGTGGCAGAAATGTTCCGTATATATGTTTCAATCATAGGCTTACCTGTGGCAATGGTTTTGAAATGTTTTTGAAACCTTTCTGATATAGTTTATTGAACGGACTGCAATATATTGACAAGACATAGCTGACACAATTCTTACACATTTTTCGGGTGGGTTATTTATGCCTTTTTGAAATAAGTTTGAAACGTTTCCAACTTATTTTTAAAAAAGTTTGAATGACCGCAATTAGAAACATTTTCGATTTGTTTTCAATATGTTTCAAAGACACGGCCAACTTGCCCATTTCATGCATTCGTTTTGAAAATTTGTTGAAAACATATATATCAATGACTGATCCGAGATTGACGTAATTTGAAACATTTTAAAAACATTCCATTGTGTAACTGTGCTATTAGGGATTTTGGACGGGAAGCTCGAATATCTGGTCAAATTTTGAAAATTTGAAAATCCAAGATGGCGGATGTGGCCTAAAATGCTATCTCGGGCTGCTCGACCTATCGTGGTGAATCTTGGTTGCATAGGGGGTATTTTTGGCCGGGAAACTCAAATTCCCAGCCGAGTTTCGAAAAATTGAAATTTTTCAAATTTTGACATTGAGATGTTCAGTGATTTTTGATTTTTGCGTTTTTTGAAGTATTTACTACGCATAAACCACAGTAATTTTCTCCGATATTTTTCGCATTTCAATCCACGAAAAACAAGTTTGAGGTTGCGTCTTCTGAGCTCCCCTTTAAACGTGTGTCCGAGGAATGAAAGATCCCCCAGGGGATACTTACTCAAGTAAGGTCATTTTCGGCCACATCTACCATCTTGGATTTTCGAATTTTCAAAATTCGATCAGAAATTCGAGTTTCTCATCCAAAAATACTACCTGGTACCAAGATTCACCGTGATAGATGGAGCACGAGCCGGGATAGCATTTTAGGCCACATCCGCCATCTTGGATTTTTAAATTTTCAAAATTTGACCAGAAATTCGAGTTTCCCGTCCAAAAATACCCCCGGTAACCAAAAATCAGCAAGATCCATCGAACAGGAGACGAGATATCATTTTAGGCCACATCCGCCATCTTGGATTTTTGAATTTTCAAGATTTGACCAGAAATTCGAGTTTCCCGTCCATAAATACCCCCTGACCCCGAAAATCAGCATGATCGATCGAACAGGAGCCGAGATAGCATTATAGGCCACATCCTTAATCTTGGATTTTCGAATTTTCAAAATTTCACGATTCACGGGTTTGTTGACCTATTCAAGGGTTTATCGATCAATTCACGAATTTTTCGAACGAATCACGGGGTTGTCAATCGATTCACGGATTTGCGGATCGATTCGCTGGTTTTTGATCGATTCACGGTCGTCAATCGAATCAATGCCGATCAAATCACGTCAATCGGTTCATGTTCTAACTTTTCGATCGATTCATGTCGGTCATGTCGGAATCATAACACCGGTTTTTCAATAATTTGTCGATCGATTCATGCTTTCATTTTTTGATCAATTCATGTCAATCAAATCTATAAACCCTCCCGTCCAAATTGCATGTTAATATTTGCCACCATTCTCGAAATATTAGCAAGTCGGTAGGTATCCATATTTTTGGCACACCCTGTTTTTTGTAGAATATCTTTCCGCAGGGACAATGCACCTCCCCCCTTCCTCGTATGATGGAAGGAAGGGGTGTTTTCTCTGTTGGGGTTAACCCTCCAATTTGTAATAGTGACACCAGGGTCGTCTCCCCTATGCAGTCAGTGCTAAAACAATCTATAGTTCCTAATTGCAAAATGAGCTTCCCCGGATTCTTCATTTTGCAATAAGGAACTATAGCCTTTTTTTGTAATTATTGGCAACAGTGTGATGTTTTTGACAAATCTGTCAACACAGGGTGTTAAAGAAACTCCATAGCTATAAAATGAACTATCAAACCGCAACATTGATCGTTTTGATGAAAAACGCCAATGGTTTTTGCAAAAGTTGCTCTCCTGAAAACCTACCGTTCTGCCTATAGTTCCGAATTGCAAAATGCTATCCAACTGATACGTCAACTACCTCACCAGTTGACGCAACCGAGGCTTCTTATTGATGATTTACTGCAAGATACTCGATAACCTGTCATAGAGCTGCAAACCCTATGACAGGGGGTTCGCGGCTGAAGACCTTAGCATGGGACGAGTCCAAACCTACTTCCTGGGATGCCACGGGTTTGGATTTGGCCGACCAGATTGTTCCCATCCGCTTGCTCGGGTACCTCGGGGTCGCCAGCCCGAAGGGGTCTCCCGTGCAACACAATGCGTTGCCCCTGCGGGC